CCGTTCTTGAAAACAAATCTCGAGATAGCTCAGAGTTTAAGGCATACACTTTCTGGCCGGATGATTTGTGTTTCGTATCCAACCCGATATCTCCACGGTTCCTGTTTAGGCTTTGGCAACTATGCAGTAACTCTGCCCTCTTGCTCCTTTCGTACAGCTACACACCTAAAGGGTCTTACAGATGAATGATATTTTGCAATGATTTCCGGGGTATTATATCTTTGAAAACGTCGTTTCGTAGGAAGAACTGCAGTTCAGAATTGTCGTTGAACGTGTTTCTGTGTTACTGGCATCTTGCACCATTCCATCATGTGTGATATCATCGCACTCTGGTGAATCTTCAAGGAAGAGAAGACAAGCAAGTCAGTGTGAGCAGGAAGTGGGCTTTATAGAAGACTGAAGTGTGGAAGAGAGCCAGAGGTGGTCCAAAAATGACTTGGCAGCGAAGTGTGAAAGCCATTACTGGCAGATTCAGCTTCGCTGGTCGTTGCCGTCTTCCTGGATGGGGACCCCGAGTGGAGCCACGGTTAGAGACATTGTCAGACATGGCCCAGTCGCGCCCTCAATGGCGCTCATGCATCCAAGCTATTGCCTTCAATGCATAGCTCCCTTCCCAACCCCCCACAAAACAGTGCACCTACAGTGCTAAGTTTACGCACTAATTTATCAGCTCCCGCCTCCAATGCGTCTCCACCTCCCCCAGATGATGATGATGATGATGATGGTGATGATGATGATGATGATGATGGTGATGGTGATGCTGATGACGATGTTGATGATGATGATGATGGGGATGATGATGATGATGATGATGATGATGATGATGATGATGATGATGATGATGATGAGGATAAATATATCACACAACAAGAGAGAGGCTGTAGCTGAACAGTATCCCACAGACGACGTTGACCATAGCGAAATACACTGATTTTCATATCATTTTGGCTTTGACGGGAGACTCACCTGGAACCCAGCTGAATATCTCGCTTATGGTGTTTTTTTACCATTCTCTGCTAGGTTTAACCTAATAAGTGAGGCGACACCCGCCGGAGATTATCACAAATAAATCACCGGGGTATTGAATCTAAATTGATCTCATGATAGCTCTCCCAGTTGTTTACTTATTCCGTCTATGCACTCTTGATCGGCACTTGTTTTTGCTCATCTGTACCTGCCGGAAAGCCGTTCCGTCCGACACTTGTGTGTCTGTTTGTGAATGGGTGCAGCTGACCTACTTACTCATGCGCTTTAATGCCCGTTTTCTGAGCTTGTTTTCTCATGAGTTCTGTGTGATCCCAATCGGAATCACGAAACAATGACAGACTTGTGCACTCGCTGACGTTTCGAACACAATTCTTCCTTTGGATATTCGGGAATGTCGAACCTACGCGTCACTCAAAGTTCCGTGTGGGGAACCTCAACAAGGGCTTTCCGTAACTTTCCCAAGGACACAGTACATGCCGACCATTGGTCACTACTCAGGTTTCATGTATTATTGTTATCTTGATCAGACTAGCAAACCCAAACGAATATCATCTGTTTGGAAAAGGATTTGACTGCTGATCAGCAGTTTTCTGCGCCACAACTAGAACGCGACCTGATTTCGATAGGGATTTTACGAAAAGAAAGTTGGTCTTTTGATGTTACTGAAATGGTCGAACAATCAAACGTAATTCCTTGAGTAATTTGTGAGTAATTTCCAGAGCTATTAACTCTGATAAGTGAATGGTCACTGAACTCCCTTTCTTTGTTTGTCGGTGACGCAACACCACGACAATCCCACCATCTTCGTCCTACGGTATTAAATCACCGGGATTTCACACAAATATTATCAGTGATAGACGGTCGTGTTTTGTTTTGGGAGATTTGGTGTGTGTGTACAACCACCGCAAAGAGACTAAACCTTAGCGCACTGTGGCGTCTTGTGTACCTCTGGTTTATCCCTAAATCTGAAGGGACGCGTATATCAAGCTACAGTACGGGCTGTTATGTCGTATGGCTGTGAGACTTGGCTTATTCGAGCAGCGGAACTGAGACATCTTCAGGTGTTCGACAATCGTTGTCTCAGAACCATAGCTCGTG